GTGTGTATCAAAGTTACCCATGAAGCTTGGCCACCGGTAACACACGAGGACCTATGAGTTAAAACTTATTAGTTTTGTCCTCATTGTATGGAGACCTTGACCATTCGTAATGAGCAGTCGTGGTGGCCTGGAGGTTTAAGCCCGCTCTCATGCATCATGCATGATGATGATGAGTGCGGGTTCCAAACTTACCAACACGACCAACACCAATGTGACTTTTTCCGAGTTATATGTACTTTCTAAGATTATCTAGACACCACTGACAAACGGTGAAGGAAGACATCGTAAGGAAACCTGGGCTTATAATGTCTGATTATAAGTTTGAAATCGCTAACCCGCATTGAGCAAGCGTGGTGATTAATGCTCAAACGTTCTCCGGGGGGCAGGTCTTTGGTTAGCAGTGGCCACTTATATGCTGTTGTTGATGATGAATGAGCAGTCGTGGCAAATATAGTAGAACAAAGACTAGGATTCATTTACTATTATGCAAATGGGCTTCGTAGTATTGCTTTGCCGCGTCAATTATTAAAAATAAAAAAAAATTGATGCGTCTTCATTTCTTCATTTACTACTCTGAGACAGAGATACTGAAACAAATACTAGGATTTATTTAGTTGCCAGCAACCAGATGTTTAGGGAATCAAACTACCACCAGGTTTTTAAATTACAATGACTTAATATGTGTAATCCACGGAAAAGTACCTTTACCCTGTGCTAGCTTGGAACCTTGCCGATCACTTTGGCAAGTGCAATTTGATCGTCGGCTTCAGGGACCTGTATTGTTGTAGAGTTTCCAATCTCTTGGAATATTGATAATCTACAGACAATTTGTATTAGAGGTATGCATCTCGACGCTTAAAACTGTATCTATATCATTATGTCGTTGATTATGTGATATGGTCTTATGACTATGGCGTCCTAACATAAAGGGCTCTTAAACATCTTAAGAGCACCACGCGTAAGTAGATTTGCCCAAAAACAAAACAAAGAAAGAAAAATGTAAACATCAGCACTCTACTTAACGCAATCTACGCATTACTATTCAAGTTGCGTCCTAAACAAATAAATATCACATTTGCTGTTTAAACGAAACAAAAATTCTAAAAATATCTCCTTATACAAATATAGTCTCTATGCTGATTGCAAATAGGGGGAGAATGCCGTAGCAGTTGCTTTTAATATTAAATGCCCATTCATGTGGAGAAGGATAAAGGTTATCTGCTGAAAATTATTTAATTTCAGGTGTAATTGTAAATAACATAATGAATAAATTCTAATATTTGGCTCTGTTGTTAGTTGAGTGGACTCAAATCCGACTGCTGAGGAAATGATTGCACGGTTGGTGCGGTGGCTGGGCAATCGGCTGCCGCACAGCGAATTACGGGTTGGATTCCCGCACGGAACTACTCTTTGTGCGATCCATAAATTGTTGTTTCGGGTCTGGGTGTCATGTGTATGTGAACTTGTATGTTTGTAAACACACCCACGACACAGGATACTGTAGGGAAACGTTTAATAAAAAAAAACGAAAATTCGAGCAATAGACTTGCTTACTATTATAATAATATGAAACTTATACCTTTATTAGATAACTAGAAACTATTATAATATAAAACTTAGACTATTAGAAAGCTTTGTTCTTTTTCTTACATTCATCAACAGCCTATAAATGCCCACTGCTGAGCAAAGCCTCTTCTCACACGGAGAAGGTTACAGGAAGGAAGGTTTTCTTACATAAGAACCTTCTTCTAACAAGAACCAACCCAAAAAAAGGATTTAGCAAAATCGATTTAGCTGTTCTTGATATTTGCGTTTAGCAACACATTCAACGTTTCTATTTTATATTATAGACAATACTTATATATAACATAACTTAACATCACGCCTTTTATCCCCGAAGGGGTAGGCAGAGGCACATTACGGCACTTAATGCCACTGTACAATGTAACCCACTTATCACTATTTATGTTATGAGCCCCATGTAATCGGGGGTGAGCCTATTGCCATATACCGGGCACAATTCCAGACTCCGTGCTACCACTGTGATTTTTTGAAAAAGCCCAGTAATACTTTGGTCGACCCGGGAATAGAACCCGAGACCCCTTGCCCGGCAGTCGCAATTGCGACCACTCGGCCAACGAGGCAGTCTTATATATACTTTATTGTTGTGAGTAGCATCACTGTAATATAATAATATTCGATATCAATACATAGTATAAAACAAAGTCGCTTTCGCTGTATGTCCGTATGTATGCTTAGATCTTTAAAACTGGATTTTGATGCGGTTTTTTTAATAAATAGAGTGATTCTTAAGGAAGGTTTATATGTATAATACATGCATATTGCACCCGTGCAAAGCCGGGGCGGGTCGCTAGTTTAGAATAACGTAAAAAACCGAGACCAATTTGCTAACTTTAAATTGGTCTACAAATGAATATATTTTTAGAAGATTAACTCGTCGAGTGCCGGTTTTGTAGACACAATTATAGAACAATAGGTTGCGGTCACCGGTGACCGCTTGGTGTTTGACAGTTTAACGAGTACTTTAGTAGATAAAGTAATACATAAAAAATACACGCAGTATGGACTTACGAATTCGCTTCTTTCGATTATAACTAAACCGCAGACATAA